TGTTGACCTGATTATAGTTGAGCTTTCTACCTGAAATTTTTATAGGAGATGCATGAATGAATTTTCTATTTAACTACTAAGTTTCAGTTTTGTTTGATATGTATATGATTTTGTGTGATATATAGACTTTGAGGGCTTCGTATAGGAAAATGGCTTAAAGTTTTTAGGAGCCCTTAAATCTGGATAAATAGTCTCTATTTTTATAAATCTTATGATATGTGTTATGACCAAAAAATGTCACAGGTATCTGATGAGTATGGTTGGAAAGTCAGTTGGCGGGCACTAGACAACGGCGCCAGGCGCGCCCGAGCCATGAACCGAGCTATAATAGCCGATCGACCTGAGGCCCAGTAAGTCGAGCCGGGTACGATTGAGCGTGAACCGGCCAGGTCGAGAAGTCCAGAGTATATTGGTTTCCGAGCCTCAGATAGGTTTTATTCGGGGACCATACATCAGTCCAGTCAGGCAATATTAGTTTTTATCTGCTTTGTCTGCTTTGTGTGAATTATTTGAATGGTCTGATTACCTGAATTTCTCTATTTTGTCTGCTCTATCTGCTTATACGTGATCACCTATAATAATAAGATAAAAATGGTTAACTGTAGATTAACGAGGAGTCGAGCACTCACACAGACGCACGTGTATTTCATATCATCCAGTCAGTAAGTTCAAAAGGTGGAGATTTCCATGGTATGTTCTAATTCTTAATAAACACAAGGTATTTATGGCTGAGGTATGTTTATGAGTATTTGTCTGTGAGTGTATACCAGGACAGGATCTCTTGTCGTGCGGGTCAGCGTCCCTGGCGGTAATGGTGTGCACATGAGATTAGTTTGTCGTGTCGTGCGAGTCAGCGTCCCCAGCCGGTAGACCAGCAAATGAGCTATGTTATGGCACATAGTTTGTCGTGTCGTGCGGGTCAGTGTCCCCGGCCGATAGACTAACAAATGAGACCATGTTTTATTCGTTTATGTGTCGATGTTATCGATACCTGTTTTTATCATGAATAATTGCATAGTATGGATTAAAAGTGAGCACGTTGATTTTTGCTCACTCCCCACAACTATCATTTTCAGGTTAGCAGTCGGGCAGGACTCGAGGGCAAGTGGTGGTCATATTATTATGCAGCATTTATGCTTTCGCTATGAACAATTTCATCATTAATCCAAACATGTTATTTTATTATGTTGAAAAATGTTTGGATTATAGTTCAGTATTTCAATTTTTATCAGACTAGATCACTCTGCTAGATCTTAATGAATTGAACATGTTTTATGTCGGGATCAGATATCCTGAAATGATTAAAAGCAAACATGTTGTAAGCACCATCTACATATGCTTTGAAATCATGGGAGTTTTGAAAATAAATCAAACTTTTCGAAAATAATTAACATTTTAAATCTGCTTCGAGGTACTTACTAAAAATGTATATGGTTTACTGTCATATCTGCTTCTAATCATTTCAGTATATCTGATCCCGACATAAACCATGTTGAATTCATTACGACCTAGCAGAGCGATCGATACTAGTCTGATAAATGAATTGAAATACTAAACTAGAATCCAAACATTTGTCAACATAATAAAATAACATGTTTGGATTAATCATGAAACTGTTCATAGCAAAAGCATAAATGCTACACAATAATATGACCACCAGATGCCCTAGAGTCCTGCCCGGCTGCTAACCTGAAAATGATAGTTGTGGGGAGTGAGCAAAAAACAACGTGCTCACTTTTAATCCACACTATGCAATTACTCATGATAAAAACAGGTATCAATAACATCGACATATAAGTGAATAAAACATGGTCTCATTTGTTAGTCTACTGTTCGGGAACGCTGACCCGCACGACACGACAGACTATCTACAATAACATAGCTCATTTGCTGGTCTACTGGCTGGGGACGTTGACCCGCACGACACGGCAAAGTGATCTCTTGTGCACCGCACGATGGGAGATCCTGTCCTGGTACCCACTCGCGGGCAATGTCCACCCGCAGACAAATACTCATAAACATATTTCAGCCATAAATACTTTGCGTTTATTAAGAATTAAAACATAGCTTGTAAAACTCTACCTTTTAAACTTACTGACTGGATGATATGAAATGCACGTGCGTCTATGTGAGTGCTCGACTCCTCATTAATTTACAGTTAACCATTTTTATCTTATTATTATAGGTGATCAAAGATACACAGATAGAGCATGCAAAGTAGGTAAATTCAGATAATCAGATAATTCAAATAATTCATATAAGGTAAATAAGACATATAAAAAGTAATACTTCGTTCATATGCCATGTTTAGCTAAATTGTTGACTTGCCTATAGTTGAGCTTTCTAACTTGAAATTTTTACAAGAAATGCATAAATGAGTTTGCTATTTAACAACTAAGTTTCAGCCTTGTTTGATATGCGTGTGATTTTTAGACTTTGAGGGCTTTGTATGTGCAAATGGCTTAAAGTTACTAGGAGCCCTTAAATCTAGATAATAGCCTCTATTTTTAGAAATCTTGTGATAAGTGTTATGGCCGGAAAATGTCACCGGCATCCGATGAGTATGGCCGGAAAAGTACCTACTGATTCAAGAATTTTTCTAAAAATCTATACTGGACATTTCAAGCTGAAAATCGAACAACATGATTACAACTCGTACAAAAAATGCTCATAAAAATTTCAAATAAAAATATGAGTATATGCTGAGATATATCAATTCTAAGAGAAGAAAATATGGAATACAATTACCTATTCTAATTTATTGAAATGTTATATAAAGTTTAAATTGTACAAAATTACATAAAAATGTCTATTTTTAAAATTAGTACACAACCCGTGTGGTGCACATAACTGAGAATAAATCACATTATATTCGTTTCAAAATAAGTATCATTTCAAAACTTTTATTCAGAAATTCGATTTGACTATAATGTGATTCCATAAAATAGTTATTTTGGTAAAATGTTATTATATATTTAACAACCTATGTGCATAATAAATATAAATATAAAATTTATCATTTTATTACTTAAAATATTATATTTTTGTACAAACTATTCAAATAAAAAAATTATGTAGTTGAGTAATATATTAAACTATAAATAATTGACTATTTCGTTTACGCCCAAGTTAACATTGATCCGTAAGTTATTGAGTAATTTAATAAACTATAAATGACTGACTATTTCATTTATGACTAAGTTAATATTAACCAGCAAATTATGAATAATTATTTTTTTTTATTTTTAATTATAAATAAAAATATTTTTATTTTATTCAATATATTATATACCAAATTTTAATCATACAACTAATAAAAGTAATAGTTGCAAGTTTAATCAATATATTATATTCCAAATTAAAACCATGCAACTAATAAAGGTAATAATTGCAATGTTTGACCAAAGTGATAATGTGCATCAATTATATTAATTTAAGCAGAATTTTTTAAATTTTTGCGAAAAATATTAATCAATATAGTAAATACTTTTGACGAGAAATCAAATATATATATATATATTATTGTTTTGTTGCTGATTTTTAGTTGCTAATTTAAATAAATATCATTGTCTCTTTATATATTAATAGATAGCTTAATTATATGAAAACTAACTAATGGAAAAGCATATTAGATGTGTCAGCCAAATGCTTTGATGCAAATATATATATAATATTATATATTATTATCAAATTGACTTAAATATTGTCAAGATTTTACATTATTCACCTTAAATAATAATTAAAATATATATCAATACGTAAATAACATATGATATTCTCATCACATTCATTCTAGGTAGTCGAAAAATATGTAAAATATTATTTATTATTCTCAAATTATCTTAAACTTTGTCAAGCTTTTACATTATTCACTTTAAATAAAAATTAAAACATCATTGTAATATCCCGAGATATTATTAAGTATATTTTCCCCAAAAAAATTCTTTCAAATGCCGTAAGATTTCTTAAGCCGAGGGAAACTAAATTTTTCCTTCTTCAAATATTATGATACGTGGCATAACTTGAGGATGCTTAATCATTCCAAACCTTAAGGAATATCAAGCAAGTGTTAGGCTTTAAGCAAGCCACGTAACACCATCGTCATTTCATCATGTCCGAACAAGCATAAAAGGGGGAAATTGGAGGAAAATTTGCCCATCTTTTCTTAAAGCCCTCACAGCGTATATACTTCCCTTCAATAGTTTCCAAAGTTAAGCAAAGTTCCTTAAAGTTTCACTAAATAATCGCACGGCTAAAGGAGTTCGATCGCACGACGAGTTCAAGGCCTTAGGCACGCCTTATTTTCGAGTTCCGTCGAGCGATAAACAAGGTAAATTCCCCTTTTGTTCTTGATCATTTTAAATAAGTTCTTTAAATAACCGGACGTTTTAATAAGTTAAAATAACGGTTTTTCTAAAAGATAAGTAAAGATTTTCACGGTAGCACCCCAAAACAGTATCGCAAAGTAAGAATATTTTAGTTTTCACAGACTTTGCGATTAAATGCGCAACTCTGATTTATCTAGTAAGGTGGGGTGTTACAATTGGTATAACCATACGTAAATAACAAAAATTTATGTTATCCTCATCACATTCATTCTAGCTGGTCTAAAAGTATCTAAAATATTGTACACTATCCTCAAATTATCTTAAATTTTGTCAACATTTTTATATTAGTCATCCTAAATAAAAATGAACATATTATCAATTAATATCATGGTTATGAGAATCAGACCGGACCGGCCCGTTCAACAAATTGCAAATTCACATGTACAAACCATCAGTCTTCAAAAATACTAGAAAATAGAAATCTAACCAACCAACATTACATTCTGAAACACTCACATAGTTGCTCCCTTTCAGGCTACAATTAGTTTATAATATGGTGAACTGACTGAATAAAACTGCAACCACCATGCAATCAAAGTCTCAAAATATAGATAAAAGGACTGAATCCACTTTTCACAAGACCTTTTTGTGAACAAATATTAACAGCAGCTGTCATACATCATCATACACGAGCAATCGTTCTTCAACGTATACACGGCAGATTGGGCATCTCTTGCACTTTTCACAACACGAGCTGTAGCATTTTACATACATAACAAGTCACAATCACATTTTTTTCGCCATTTGAAAGAGATTAAGTTGTGGGTAAAAGTCAGGCCAAACAACATATGGGTATGCCATTCTTCTTAGTAATGTAGTTACACAACGCTGCCTTTGACGTTTAGCCTAGTTACTTAAATTATAGTGATTTTGCATAATTCAAATACCCCTTGGAAGTTCGTTTACGTGAGAATTCGTAGAATGGATACAAACTTAAAAGGCTATCTGTAGTTCCGAAAGAATGATAATTGGATTGTAATAATTAGGCTTAAACCTCAATGGTCATTTCTTTAAAATGTTTCTTCGAGAAACCAAAGGTTCATCTCCATAATATGTCAACGCAAGCTAAAAGAGATTCAGTATATACTTATGCAATACCTGCAAAGAACATAATGCCTACAAGGCAGCAAAACTACATTTATGTGCTCGTCAAAGCATACTCGGCACAGGATTTTTTCCTGACAGAAGCAAATAAGTAATACATTAGCAAGTGCTCGTAGCCAAAAAAAAAAAAAGAGAATAGCAATCTACACAAGCTTGTTATACTAAGTAGCCCACCAAAGCTCTTCACAATTAATTATTAGTTATTTTCTTCTACTCGTTAATATAAAGAGAAACCCATAATCATAATATATGTTCTTCTACTCAATACATATGAAAACTCAGTAATCTGAAAACAATTTCACACAGAAAGTCGAGAATATGTACATTTTGAAGCCTTTCAAACTCCTCTTGGCTGATATTTGTGATCTCCGTTTGGGAGACAAGTGCCGATTGGAGCCTCCATATCTGAGGAAAATAGCAAATGCATTCATGAAATTCTGGCGGGTGCAAACATAACGAAATTAGAGAGCCAAAGATTAAAGATTACATATCCATTAACAAAATTCGAAACTAGGATAACCTACCTCCTTCACAAGTTCAGCCTTCGGCATTTTCCTCACAGTATCTGGTGAAAACGTGTTGTACCTGTTTCATAAGAATGTTGATAAGCCATCTATCAAATGAAAAAGCCCAATATGTACCAAAATATATGACAACATTAGAGATATTTAGTACCACTAGAACATTTGCAGAAAAAGATGCAGTCATGTGACTATCAAAATCTAGTTATATACAAAAATATATGACCACTTTACAGATATATTTTATAAGCACTATTAACATTGTGAAAAAAGAAATGCGGCATCTGACTAAATCCAGAATTTTTAGCAAGTGAAACTAATGGACAAAATGACTAACAGTGCTCGATATATTATTTTTCAAAAAAGATAAATAAATAGTGTGAAATAAACGGGATGAAAATTGGAAATTCAGAAAAAATACCCAGATTCACATGCAGAATACAGGCGAGCTTGCTCCTCTCGACTTCCTTCATCAATTGACCACCAGCCGAGTAACCTGATAGCATAAATGGGCCCGGCCGTTAGGAAAATAGTGTAATTTTAAAGGGGCTTGAAGCTCATTTGATTAAAATTACAGTTTTTAACCTCGATCCACGACGCAAAAACCCCATATAATCATAAGTAGATGCGGGTAGTCTAAAAGTGCTTCCGGTATCAACATCATCATGTAGTAAGAGGTTGATTTTCTCACAAAGCCTATATATTGCAAACAAGAACCCGGCTCCTTGCAGTAGCAAAAGAGGAGAAAACAAAAGTGGAATTGGAATATACTTTGCACCTGGCGGAGTTCCCTGAGATAAAATACCTTTAGTAATGAAACCCAACAAACAACTTGATTAAAAGCTATTTCCAAAAGCAGCCGTGAGGCCTCAGTTCAAAAAGATATATATCCGGAACTCAAGGGAAAAAATAGGCTCTCAAACGAAAATGAAAAGTAATGCCTGGGCCTAGTAAAAAAATGAATGACAAAAAATATGAATCTGGATTGAGAGTTTTGAAGAACTGACACACAAAAAATATCATTTGAAAGGAAAAATTAGAGCCCTACTGAAATTTTGCCTGGTTCAGAAAGGATTTCAGCTGAGATGAATCTGAATCAACCAAGATTGATCAAGATATAGCTTAAAATCAAAGCATAAGGGTTTGATTTCCATATTGAATGCACCTATCTCAAACAACAAGCTCAATAGAATTGACATAAAGGATCTCTGCAATATTTAGTTACGAAAATGAAAGACAATCAACTTTTCTCTTTTATTTTTATTTTTAAATCTCTAGTACAGTGTAGTTAACTATACCAACAAGAGCCTTTTTTGGCATACCTCCAAATACATGAACAGCATGACCTGGAAACCGACAAATGGGATCTTCATGACATGACCGCCAATGTCCTGCAAGCTACATATTCTATTATCTTGATGATCTTCTATTGTAGATACCAAAAACCCATTGTTCCAGCTAAGGTGTCTGAAACTCGTTGAGGATGAAGATGCTGCTGTTAGATGCGGGCGTCTATGAATTGCAGGATTGTACCACTTTGTACAAATGAGAAAGGCAAAGCACTCAGCAACACTGAGGAAAAAATAAAACATCTGTCATAACAGCACTTGAGTTGACTGTGATTTATATGATTATTGGAAAACAGGATGGAATAAAGACAAGCACAATTAGACATGGCCAAAACACGGGCAGGGTCACGGCCCGGGCCGGCCCGGAGGGCAATTTCCCATTTATTCTTCAGTAATAATATTTAATGGACGAGGACATCCACTTAATATTCATTTTAATAAAATTAAAATGTCGAGCTAAATAAATAAAAATTTATGAAATTCATTATACTCGATTCGGGCGCTACATTCCTCGGAAATAAGATCATCTAGAATCATTTCCATAGGATAATGGTAGGTGCCTAGTTACTTTCTCGACTAGACTCGCCATCCACACGAGGCTCCTCTTCCTCATTGTCTCCCCTTAGTCGATTCCTCTCCAGTCTCCAGTGGGACTTCCCTTCTTTCCCATATATTTCCTACTTTTAGCACAAAGTCATTGAAGTTGACATGTGGCATTCCTTTGTTGTTTGGGTCAGAACATTTGCTACCGATGCAAGAAGCCGAGGCACATTAGTTTCCAATGCCCGGAGTATGTTCAGGGCAGAATCCCCCTCAACCACCGAACCAACAACCGCAGAATCCACCAAGGCTCGAAGAAGGAGGTCGAGCACATGTCTACCAGCTGGTACCAAACGAGATTGATCCAAAGCGGGAATGAACGAGCAGGATGAGGAGTGAAGGCCGAAGACGTTTCTAGCATTTTTTTTTAGGATTTGACATAATTCGTATTTTATTCTTGGCGATTTTTTTTTCATTTATCCGTTTTAGTACAAGTATGATTTTATGGATGATGGTACCTTTTAAGAAACAAGTCAATTTCCCTTTGAGAATCCTTTTAAGATTAACTGTTTTATTTTAGCATATCCTCGTTCCGTTAAGTGAATGTTTGAGTATTAAATGAATCCCAATAGATGGTATGTGCTATGAGGACCAGCAAGAACTATGCATTGGGACCGGGAAGCATCACTGGCAAGAAGCAAAAGGAATTCGAGAGGCTGGTATACAATGGAGCTAAGTCGGTGGGAGAGAACATTCAGGAGGTGCTTAACATGTGGGAAGAGCTGAGAGGTAGGCGAGCTAACATCCTAAACCATTGGGATGGAAGCAGAAAGCTTATCAAAATCTTGCCGCCAATCTGCAGGGCCGAGGCTGACAGAATCTACGAGAGGCTAAGGAGAGAAAACATGGGAATCCCAACAACAGGGGGAATGCCCACAGGTCAAACTTTGTGGGAAAGAAGGGAAGTCCCACTAGAGACTGAAGAGGAATCGACTGAAGGGGAGACACGTATGGATGACGAGTCTAATCGAGGAAGTAACTATGTACCTATCATTATCCTATCCTTGATTAGAAATGATTCATGATTCTAGATCTTATTTCCGAGACGGAAATATTCTAAGGAAAGTAGAATGTAGCGCCCCAATCGAGTATAATGAATTTCATGCATTTTTATTTATTTAGCTCCACATTTTAATTTATTAAAATGAATATTAAGTGGATGTCCTCGTCCATTTAATATTATTAATTAGTAATAAATGGGAAATTATGTAGATGTCCCATCTATTTAATTTTCCTAATTAAATCCTTTTAATAATAATTTTAATTATTTAATTTATTTTCCTAAGCAACAAAAAAAAAAAAAAAAAGAAAAATCTTGTCTTAGTCACCAAGTTTTACATGAAGTTTTATCATGTAAGGAGAGAGAATCCAACTCTTATGAAATTAGGAATCCTTTTCCTATTCCAAGTCTCCTAAGCCAAGTCCTATAAATAAATCTTTTCCCCCATGAGATTTATTTTTCTCCTACACAAAATATTTTCCAAGCCTTTCAAGAGATAAAAACAAAAAAAAGAAAAGGATCGTTCAAAGAAAAAAAGTCAGCGAGATATATATATTTTCTCTCCCACGCGAGCCTCACGCCGCTGCCAAGCACTCCCGGCACCACCACACGAGCCCGACCAGCCAGCGCCCGTCAGCCCTCCACACGAGATGCCAGCCCCGCACTCACCTCAGCCCGGCGCCATCCACGCAAGGAAGCCACGTTACACACGCGATTGAGCCGAGTCCCCTTTCGAGCTTCCTTTTTAATTTTTTTTTTTTTTTTTCCGAGAACGGTAAACCCTTCTTCTACCTTACGGGCTGATTATGTGTTCAATAATGATAATAATCCAAGATAATAAAAAGATTATGAAGATTTAATATGATTCTATGCGAATAGATGAGATTTAATGATGTTCGTAGAATTCCAAGTTTGATCTTGGATCAATGATTTTGAAATGATGATTTTTATAAAGTGTTTAAAGTCTAGAAAAGTTGAATAATTATACTTGCTTAAGAGTTAGGATGATCAATGATATTAGATTAAGTCTATGCCAATGTAGCGAAAGAGAAGAAGAATCGATGAATTAAGCATGTCTTTATGATCTATGTATATGTTATGTGAATAGGGTTGAATGTTGAGAATTTATGTGTTAATGATCATGTTTTAATGTGTGAAGAGCATGCTTAGAAGTTGTTTTAAGTGGCCCTTGTCGGGATTTAAATTGATATCAATTTCGGTATGATCATATGTGAATTCGATGGTTTCTGTGTCTCCGTTTATGGTTTGTTATGACCTCCAAGATCGCGTTCTTGAAAATATGTTCTTCATTTCATATGAATTGTAGTACTTTAAGTTAGCTTTCAGTGAGTTCAAGAATCTTGCAAAAACCTTTTGTAGTTTGGGAGATACATCCGTTTTACAATCAGTGTGCAAGCAGTTTTCTGAAAACCTGGCAGCAAGTATCTATTTAATGTTTGGACTGTTTTCTGTGTTCAAACGTGCTCAAATGAATTTGTGGTCTTCATGAGAATTGTTGAGTTGTTTCTTAGCTTTCCAAACATATATCATATAAGGTTCAAGTCGAGATGATGTCTGTAGTAAGAGATAAACTTGTTTTACTAAACATGTGCAGATGTTGTGATCCAAATTTTTTGGCAGAAACTAGTTCTGAATGTATGTCGATTTATCTCCTGCTAAATGACTTTATTTGCAACTGAGGTCTGCATGAAATTTGTTATCTTTCAGTAGGTTCATGAATCTTTTGAAAATATGTTCTGAGTAGTGAGTTGTAGTCGTTTTAGTAAAGCTCGCATGTGATAGTTTCAATTTTCTGACAGCATCTAAGATTCGAATGTTAGCTGATTTTTCAGCATCTGAATGACCTTATCAAGATCTAAATAAAAGTTGTAGCTGCATGTCTTAGGGTCATTTTTAGACTTGAATCATGTCCATATGAATTATGTGCTGAAAGTTGTGCATGTTTTAAAAATGTTGTGCATGAGAGATTTTAATGGGTTCCAAGTATGTTTGCTTAATTGAGTTTTGTCTTTGATATGCATGCTTATGTGATATGAATGAACGGTATAGGATTATGTGAGATTAGGATTGAACCTTAGATGATTAGTGTTAGTGACTTAAGCAAGCTAAGAGTTCAATTAGTCCGAAGACTTTAAACGAGATTGTTTTCAAAGAGGTTCAAGCGAGGCTTAAGTCAATTGATTTTCTCAAGACTAAGATATGCTAGATAAATCATTAAAATACACTTTCTGAACAATGTAGATAATCGAGGAGTCGAGCCCTCCATTGTCAAGAGCATTTCCAAAAGACCAAGTCAACTGCTTATCGAGGTGGAGAATTTCTATGCTATGTTTACATTCCTTATAATTGTTTATACTATGTTTGAGATATGCTATGTGTTTAATATCCATGATACTAAGTCTTCCAACTTTTGGGTAACCATTTGTTGGGGGAGCGAGGATAACTATGAAACTAAGTCTTCCGACTTTTGGGCAACCATTTGTCGGAAGAACGAGGTAAATGTCATGCTATGATTATTCATGTTTCATATCAATGTCATGCGATGAGTTATTATATTGAATGTCTATGTAGTATGTGTTTCTCACTGAGTAAGTAGAAATGCTCACCCCTATTTTGTTTTCCACCCCCAGGTTATTCGAATTGGCAACGAAATGATGGCAAGGGTGGTCACATAGATGTTCATGCTTTAAGTTATTTCTTTAAGACTATGGTTATGATTTCACTTAAGTTGTTTATGAGATATGTTGAGTTTATATGGGATTATGAAGAAGTTTTATTTATGCGATGATCTATGCTATTCTACAACGAAGGGAAAGATTTAAAGTTTTAAAGTTTTTCGAGGCTATGATGAGTTTCAAAGTAGTAGCACCCTTGAGCTTTCAAATGTTTAATGTTTTTTTAAAAAAAAAAAAAAAAATATTCGAGGAATTTAAGGTATGAAAAACGGGGGTGTTATAGCCTCCAGGCTCAAAAATAAGAAATCGAACCCGACACGAACTTATGCTCGTGCCGCGTCAATGGTCCGGTCAACCGGGACGGGTCCGGGTCCGTGCCGGGTCGTCATTTTTGGGAAAACATATAGAATTTTATTAAAAAATTTTAAAAAAGCAGGCCGCCGCCCAAACCCGCCGGGCAAGGGACATGAATGACCCTGCAACGGCCCGTCGAAAATCCAATCCTGTCCCAGACCCGTGGTCAACAGGTTTGACCGAACCGGGTCCGGGCCAGGTTGGTGGGCAAGCCGTGCGGCCCGTGGCCATGTCTAAACACAATCAACAAGTGGCCCAATTACCTTTTCAAAAGTACAAATATACCTTTGGAGATTCCCTTAAATGTTATATCAAAACGTGCTGAGCCTAAGTGGTAGGTTGCAAGGCTCGTACGTTGTAGATGTTGACATAGCAAAATTTTGTGCTTCGTAATTTGGTTTGTATAAACATTATCATTGCTTTGAAATCATGTTTGGTATTTGACATAAATAATTTATTTGCAATTTTCTCTTTTCCAAATCTAATCTTACTAAACAGATATTATTGAGTCTCATTTATCTTAATTATTAAATACCATAATTTTTTATTATATTTTAAATGTTAAATAACTTTTTTTATCTATAATCCATTTTTCATATATGATTTATCAAATTAATCATCTTTAAACAATCTTCAATTTGATATCCATATAACAAATAATCATGAATGGAAAAAAAAAATAAAAAATAAAAATAAAAAAAATAAATAAAAAAAAAACTTAAAATCAAATTAGCAAAGTCGTAAATAATATTTGTGTTAGACATATATAATTTTATATATGAAATTAAAATGATCATCTTTTTTGACAATTTAAGGGTGCGTCGTTTTCAATAGTTATCACATTTTTATTTATTCATTATTTGTTGTACATTTATTTATTCATTTTTTATTATACAATTTTTCAAACACCCGTACACAGCTGTCGTACTTGTATGTTAATATTTACAAACGATAATATTTACAAACGACAGGTGATGTGCACAAAAATACAGAGCCCAAAGGAGAATCTTTTAAAAGAACAATATCCTTTTTTCTTGGGAATAAAGTTCAACCTTGGTAATTTTTCAGAAGTTATTAAAGAAAAGAGAGTGCTACATACATACCCATAATTGATGAATAGATCCCACCAACCAAGAGCGGCTACGTCGCCTATATTTCACCAAGACAAACAAAGTAACAACCGTTCTTAGGACATGATTAGGATATCTAACTAAATGCCAACTAGATAAACTTTAGCAAGTATCAAGAATGACTTTTTCTTTTACCAAGAAAAACATCATTTAATTCTCCAAAGTACTTTTTGTACTTTATTTCTGTTCCAATCTCATAGAAATTGAGTGACATATTCAGCTGATCTCTTACAGCTTCTCCGCAAGTTGAGATGATAAAAGAGGATAAGCAATAAAACTTCTGGGAGAAAAATGAAAAAAAAGAGAAAACTAGTTGAAATTACCGCATAGCTTCAGAAGCGTAAATGTTGTTGCAGCAATGAAAAAGACCATTGAAATTGAGACCCAGAAATGCTGTAAAGAAAATCACCAAACATCGACTTGACTGAATGCAAATATAATATGATATATATCTGGAATATTTGCTTTGTTTGGCAATTGGCATAACTAATCATCCTAAGAGCTATCAGGTTTTACAATGGTTGAAGTGCAACTAAATGGCAAATTAACCAACAAAAAAAAGGAAGAAAAAATAGAAAAAACAATATTAGAAAATATATCTGTTAGTCACTGGATAATGTGGAAAGTTAAAGTACAGTCATGACCTTGTTTTAATTAGGCAAAGAGTGGCAGATATACAATATTATTACAGGAAAAAACTATTGAAAACTAGTTCCTGAATCAACCATAAGCATCAACGCCTATTAGCTCAGTTGGTTAGAGCGTCATGCTAATAACGCGAAGGTCGCAGGTTCAAGACCTGCATGGGCCAATGTCCATATTTTCTCCATTTTTTTGTTCATTTTTCTTATTCTTTGTTCTTTTTTTTCTATTTTTGTTTATTTGCTATCAATTGTGCATAACTTCTGTATCCCCGGAGTTACCCGTCAAATAATGTTTACATTAAAAGCATTTAATTTCCTAAATAGTTTGTACTTTGTAGATGTACAAGATCCTCAATGTTCCATTTTCTATTTCAAAATTACTGGGACAAATATTTACAGCAGACCGTATTATAGATAGTGGAATACTTGATGGAAAACTTACAGGAAGAGTTTCCCATATTGCTTCATCAGTGATATTTTCTTCTTCTCCAGGCATAAGAGCCCTACACATCCTGAGCAGCAGAAGAAAAAAAACAAAAAAAAAATAGTATTAATTGCATCTTGAGTCTCATGCATGTGTCACGACTATTAGTATTTTGGAATAACAATCTTAACAATGATAGGAAGTATTACCTAATGTTATCAACCAGAATTGCAATTTCTAGTGCAATCAGAGGCAAAAATACAATCTTCAAATTTACAGCTGCACATTTATCACAACGAAAACAAGGTGAGTTTATCACATCTTCATCACAACTAACGAGTTTCGAAGAATTGAGTTATTGTAGCTGAAGTAAAAAAAAAAAAAAAAAAGTAACTGAAAAGTAAAAATTGGTTGTGTGTTTGTATGCGCGCATATATAGATCAGTGAATAAGAGTAAAAGTCAAACCGGAAGCAGAATAAAAAATTTAAATTAACTTCCACTATTTATGATTAAATGTCACAAACAGACGTTGGCAATTGAAAGCTCGAGTATTATTTTCTTTTGTGCGTTCCCAATGACTTCTAATTTAGTGGAGGGATAAGGAAGTTTACCATAACTTTTCTCAAGATGTACACAAAGGAGAAGTTCAAATGCAACAAGCAATGGGGTAGCCACAATGGCATGAAATGGTGCCCACTGTTGACAAAATGAAAAGATAGATACACTTATTAAGTTAGAAGATGAAAGTTTAAAAATTTCTCCATGATATTGGATAACTAAAAATCAAACGGGAGTATTTTTTTCGTACATAGCGGCCATGAGGCATAGATGGGGCAGGCAACGAGAATCTGCCTCTTGCCACGACCGCATGGAATAACCAAAGCGGCGAAAATATCAACCTACAATAATAGCAACAACCATTTGGTTTATAACTATAAAAAGGATGATCCAAAAAATAGAACTCATTCTTCCTCAGTCATACTTCCAGTCAAAATACCAGGGCCTAAATGTTAGAAACAAATATAACAAAGGATAAAAATAATATCAAGACAGATGAAATTGGGCATGTGAGTTTTACAAGGGAACAAAACGGAGCCAAAAGAATGTGTTTCACCGAACTAGGGAAAAAGAATAACGAAGAAAATTATTCCTTCTCCTAAAAGATTAACCATACACAAATTAAATAGGTATGAACTAAGCAAACATAGACAGTTGGGTCGGTTCAATGCAGTACGTACATTGAATTTTTTTCACCTAAAAACAAAATGTATAAGAAATAAGCTTTACTTTTGTTTCAATATACAAACACTATGCAAGTTGAACAAGATTCTCTACCTACACATATGCCACCAGTCTCTACCTTTATAATAGCCATACTACTGTTAAAGCAACAGCCATTACTTGCCAAACATAAAGGAAAATTGAGAAATAAGGTGAAACGACATCTACCTAAAGGTCCTAAACGACGATCTTATATTCTTATCTAAATTTCCATGACTTTAGCTCAAATATGCATCTTATGAATCATGAAAACATTATAAAATTAACCGCGATCAACGCATTTAACCTCCCAAACTCAGAAAGTCCACGTTTTCAAAGCATATTTAGCCAAACCATCTAAAAGATTTCAAGAACTATCATTCTAGTTAAATAATAATCAAATACCGAGTCAATTCACACACTAAGTATACCAAAACATAACCGCATACCGTCATAGCAACAACGACGAAATTGCATCAAGAAACACAAATCATCAATCAAATCAGGTAAATAACATAGTTAGCTCAGCTCTCCAGGAACAGATCATTGAACCACAATTCATCAACACAGATTTGGTATTTGAAAATCAATGTCCATTCTTTCAATCTAAGAATCGGCAAATTTTAAAACCTAACATCTAAAGTAAACATAAACCTCTACAACATAAATTCATTATTAAGAAACACAAACCACCAAGAATAGTTAAGAGCATGATGAAGCTTGAGAGATAGAATAATAGTGAAGAGGAGAAGCAATCCATGAGCTACAACAACTTGGAGAGACTTGAAAACTCTCCTCCAACTCATCGTCTTCCTTTTGAGACCGATCAATAATTTACAGCTCGAATGCCCCAAAAACACACAAATCCCTGAACTGCGCGCATAAATCTCGTACCCATAAGATATAACCTTAAACTGATACAAGAAAAGTTCAGAGATTGAACTCTAGAGAGAGAAAAAATGGAGGTTTAGGCGAGGAAAGAGAATTATTCGGGACAGATTTGATCTTTCAGACAACGTTGAAGACCGAATAACGCTGTTTAGCGAATATAGGCTATAGTTGTTATTTTTATTTTTTCTCTTTTGTTTGTACAAGGCTATAGTTGTTATTTATTCTTATTGGGGGCACAATGTCCAATTTCACCATTACATTAGAGGGATCGTTTTTTTTTATATATATTTTAATTTTTATTTTTCAGAACTCTCCTATATACATATATAACAAAAGATGTGAGGGACTCTATGTTTGACACTTCAATGTATTTCAATTTCAACTCTTTTTAGGAATGGTGCCAATAGATTGACTGAATCATATAACTTTGTTGTTGTGAACTTACTGTAATGCCCTTAGAAGATAGGTATGTTGCCACACACTGGGAAAACTGTTGAGACGGTAATCGTGCGAGTGATTTTGTGGGTCTGCTCGTCGCTGCTTGAGAAATTCCTTGCATGAGAAATTTAGGTACAATGTCTACTTCTGAACTTTTTGCTCATTCTTATCACCTTCTAGGATTTGGGTTTTCATTTTTGTGGTCTCCGTTTTTTGCTCTGATCTCGAATACATTTTGTTTGCTTTTTATTTTTTTTAAGAGATAGTTATATTTAGGAGAATGTATGCACCAGTAATAGTATGATTTTATGGTGTGCTTGGATGGGCTTCGTCTTGCCGCTTGTGTGTATCTTTGTTGTCTTTCATATTTTTATTTTTATTTTAAATGTTGGGTGCATGTGCTTCAAATGTAGTGTGTTATTATTGAAGGTATATTTGGTGATTTTATGTACCGTGTGGTTTTACATCTAACTTGAACACCTTGCACACAATGTTTTATGTAGGATGAGCTGGTAAAAGTTCAGTGACATGGGTCGACGTAAGAAATCTTCCGTATAAACTTCATGTTAATTTGGGTATTTTCCTTCAGACATGTGCTTTAAACATTGGCGCCGCCACATATCAAAGATTTTTTGTCCACTTTATGTTTTATGCTTTTTTGGATTTTCCATTTGGGCTATATTTTTTGAAATTTTGATTTATTTTGTCGAAGTTTGTGTGTTGTGATGATGCAATATACGTAGAGTAGAGCTTCTGATCTTGCATTTGAAGACTAACTCTTCGTTGTTTGAGTATAGTTTTCCCTTTTTCTTAAAATATCTAATTTTTCTAGAATATAATGATATCTTTTTGTTGCTCTCTTTTTGTTAGCTTTTTGTAAAAAAAAACTTGATTTATTGCTTTTTATAGTCATGCATTTTCTTTGAAAATAATGATAAAAATTTATTATCATAATGAACTTTCTTTAGGAAGAACAAAACGCTAGATTTGTATTTCATAATGGAGGTGTCGGAGTTTTGGCT